GGGGGTGATAGGGTCCCGGAGCTTGGTGTTGGAGAGGACACGAGCTGCAGAGTTCTGAATGATCTGCAACTTATCATCAGGTAAGAGAAGGCCTTTGACTTCAGTAATTGGTCACTTGCAGTCCAAGCACAACCTGCATACTTCCATCAAACCAAAACTTTCAATGACAATCTTCATGCAAAAGATCTGAGGAGAAACATCTTGCTGTTCCCATGAACTGAGAATTAAGCCATAGGTATTCTGTTTCATTTGTGAAAAGTGACTCATGTAGTTCAATTTGAGTGAAGCTTTGTATTGTACAGCAAGCACATGAGTCATCAAATCAATGACAGCAGTGTTAAAAACCTCTTCTATGTGATTTGATGTCTAACAAACTACTCTTTGTGCACAAATTATTCATTTGCGATAAAAAAATACACAATTTTCTCTGCAATTGGAAAATAAAAATCAACTTTGTTTGAGTTTGCCGTGAACCTTCATTTAATAAAAGGCAACCCAAACAATTTTTTAAAAAAAAAAACACTCATCAACTTAAAATGATACAGATTCAAAATAAAGATAATATTCTGTTAAAACTAATACTTTAACAATCAGGCAAATGCATTCAAATTTAAAAACAAACAAGCATGTTAAAGCAAAGGTATGGATCTCGGTTTTGCTGGTGTGCATAGTGATGAGAGGCAGGCGACTGTGTTGCAGGCTGACGTCCTCGACTGCAGGTAGTAGTAATAATCAATACACCATCACAAACACAGGTTTTATATCCAACAGTTAACTCTACACACATATAGGCGTTTCACTTATTGCTCATGTTCAGGATGCTATTAAATTATTAATCTGCACCATGTTTCCGTGATCGTAACCAACCTTAACTGAATCTCAACACTGAACCGGCGGGTTCCAGAAGCCGTTTCACCGACTCATCAGAACATGCATTTTGATCAGAGCCATCAAGGATGGACGTGTGCTCACAACATTCTGTTCTACATGTTCCTCCAATTTAGAATACAATATAGATATTAAACACAAGCGAGCTTCTTCGACAAGAAAATGATAAGAGAACTATTCCAAGCCTTAGTGTAACAGGGCCTTAAATTCTCTCAATTATTACGAAGTAGCGATAGGAAACCCTCCACGGTTGATGCAAGTACAAGCCCAGTCAGTTGATTATCAATAGACTTTTAATTTTAAAATAGGAAGTGGGGTAATTGCTATTTTTGGAAGGAAAAGAAGGCTGAGGTGTGAAAATCTTATCACCCTGGGTGATACTTTCAAGGAATTCATCCAGATCACAATAACATTTGTATAGCGCCTTTCACGTCAGGATCACGTCCCAAGGCAAAATCTCATGTTCTGCACTCAACTGCTGTACGCGACACTGTGAGCCTGGCTCAGAAGATCAAGGGTTCAAAGCCCCGTGTCACGATTTTAAGTGCATGCTCTGGGTTAACATTCCAATGTGGTCCTAAAAGAGCGTTGAACTGTCGACGATGCCGTCCTTCGGATAAGACTGAGGTCCTGACTGCCTGGCCGCACGGACGTTAAAGATCCTCTCCTCGCCGGCCTTCCCGGCACCTCCCTCCACAAGCTGCAGGTCATTCAGAACTCTGCAGCTCGTGTACTGTCCCGGACCAGGCTTCGCGACCACATCACTCCCACCCTCGCCCTCACCCTCATTCCCACCCTCGCTCGCCTCCACTCCCCATCCCCAGAGGATCGATTTCAAGATCCTCATCCTCACCTACAAGGCCATTCGGGGCCTCGCTCCCTCCTACCTCTCCGACCTACTATCCCCCTACCTACCTGCCCGTACCCTCCGTTCCTCTGGCTCCGGTCTGCTCCACATCCCCCGCCCCAACCGCCCTACCATCGGTGGCCTTCAGCCTCTCAGCCCCGAGGCTCTGGAACTCTATCCCCAGTGCCTTCGCCGCCTCCTCCCTTTCCTCCTTCAAGGCCGGTCTCAAGACCTTTCTCTTTGACCGTGCCTTCAGCTCCCCTCTCGACCCCCTCCTCGCTCCCTCCCTTCTCTCCCCTCACCCTGACCATTTCCCCCCTCCTCGCTCCCTCCCTTCCCTCCCCTCACCCTGACCATTTCCCCCCTGCTCGGGTCCTGACCCAACTGTACAGCGCCTTGGGATGTCCTCCTGACGTGAAAGGCGCTCTATAAATGGAATCTTGTTGTTGTTGTTGTTGTATGGTACTCTTCAAAAAGAAAAGGGAGTTTCTCCCATTATTCTGTCCAACAATCCCCCAAATATATAATTGATCATTCACTTCAATTATTGATTGTGGGCAAATTGACTTCCATTTCACCTACAAATATTCACCTACAGTCACTAGACTTTACAGTGTAAAGCACCTTGAGACACTTTGACTTGATGATCTTCTGCGCCAAATGCAGAATTATTATTATTGTCGGTGTAACATTCTTAGAATCAGTTCCAAGCAACCCGCAAATTAATGTGCCTGCAGTATTGTGTGTATTCTGCTCGTATTATGAAAACAAATCTTGATTTATATAATAGCTGCTCAATAACTTCAAACAAACTGAAAATAATATTAACTTTATAATTCGATTGGAGATAGGACCAGCCCCTCAGGTTAAGAAATGGGGAGGCCGTGGGTTCATATTCTTGATCCACACCTCGCTAAGTCTCCTAATTTCAGTTTATCACTGTGGGGAATAGAAAATTGATATTAAGTACCTCCCCATAATCATCCTTGGCACACACTCAAACACTTTACAGTGCCTGGCTCTGAGTGCCATAATCACAGGCCCTTTTCACTGCGGTTGGTTTATTATCCAGGCTGAGTGAGGGAAAAAAATCAGGGAGAATTTTTTTTAAAAAATTGATAATGCAAACCCCGCAATTTTTTAAAACAATAACAATTTTTTTATGGCTACGTCGGAATAAATAGGATCATTTTAGAGCTTTGCCAGGCAATATTATTTGTGCTTTTGGTTAATACAAAATAATCCATCTCTTATTTGCATATAAAATAAAATTACAATTTGCTTTTCTGTTTCTATTTCCCAGGATTATTGCTCAAATTAACATTGTAGTTTTCTCCGCATTTCCAACATAACAAAGTTCTAAAGTATGTTTTCCAGATTTGTTTCCTATTTAAAAACTCAGATTTGATTGATGTGTAAACACAGTACAACAATTCATAATTTATTTGAACCAATTTTTTTGAAGCAACAGTTATTAAATACTTCTGTATCTTTATATTTTAAAAATATACAGTGCAATTCTTTTATCATTTGCTATTGAGCAGATTTCTTAAAAAGACTTAAGAATGGTTTTATCCTTTGAGTGTTATTGATATGGAAATGTACTGTATCTGGTAACAATTAAGTAGAGATTAACTAAGAGGTTATTTGTTAAATGTAATTCTAGGTTTCCAACATAATGCCATTGACATGTTGTTGTAAGTTCTTCAACAACTTTTTATGATTTTTTACATTTTTGCAAAATATATCTGGCATTGTACAACGCAAAATTAACACATTCAAATCTCAGCTCACAGCAGTGGTGTGCAAAACACAGCATGAATCCTGTCTGTTGGATATATTGCACCAAACCACCAAAGTGATTAGATACCGGTCACGCCAGTTCCATAAGCCTGTAATATCTCTTGTGGATGCGAGCTCGCAGTCTAGTCTGAACTCCAGGGCAGGATTCGGTGTGGGCTACACTGATGTTTTGGCTGAGACTTTAAGCCATCTGCCATCACTCCATTTCAAATGGACATGAAGATCCCATGACACGATTCGAAAGAGCAGGTAGTTTCTTCTGGTGTCCTGGCCAGAAATGTACCAGATTATTTGGTCATTCAACTAATGGCTGTTGGCATGAAAGACTGCTGTATTTGTCTGAACAGTCATTAACCTGGAGTAATTTAATTGTGAAGGGCCAAGACTATTCCTAATAAGACCCAATGAATGATTTTATACTTTGAGCTTTATCGATATGGAAATGATTAGGTACTATAACCTGGTTATTGTGATGAATTCCTGTACTGCTTCTCCCTTCTTTCTGCCTGGCAACCTGACAATAAAAAAAAAGACTGAATGGCCTGCTACTGTGTCGTACAACATTTCTGTTGTTCTATGGGTTCATTATGCAGACTGTAAAGCTGGACTGACATTTTGATTCTGGAGTTTCAACGTGTTACCTTCAAGACTCAGGGGTCTGGAGGACATAGGAGAGATCTTCACCCAAGGACACTGAATGAATTGAATAATTCCACATTAAGACAAAAAATGTGGAACCAACAGCCTTGATTGGAAAATGACCTTTCTTTATCCATTTCACATTTTTAAGACTCTCTATATTCAGTTGCCTCCAAATAAGCTGGACCAGAAAAGATCATTTCACTGATTATAAAGAAAATACTTGCATTTACATTGCAGCTTTCACGTAAAAATACGTCTCGAATTGTTTTACAAAATATAATTGATTAGAAAGAAATGCATTGAATGTCATTATAAAGGCAGTTATTTGAATTTGGGGAAGGGGGTACATTTTGTTCAGGATTTTTTGTGCATTACACGTATAATCAATACAAGTAAAATAAAGCATCCTACGACCAAGGCCACCCTTAATTTGACCTGAACTCACTCGATTAGACAATTTACACAGCCTCTTCTCAAAATAGAAATAAAGCAAAAATTAAATAAAACAAAAAAAAACACACTCTTTTCCATTGCCATTTTGCTGCGATACATTCCATACGTTCTCTTTTGTGCGATGGGTCTATTTTATTTCATCTTTACATCAAAAAGATATCATTTATAACAAAAAAAATTAATTCCCTTGGAATGCAGAGATAAATGGAAGTGTGAGTGCCTTGCACATAAGAAAAGTAAGGCTGGTCCTCTGGGAAATCGACTCCTTTCACAGTGCTAGGTATTCAAAGCTTGTTCAAAAGTGTTCATTTAGAATACAGATATCAAAAGATGATGCAAATGTTCAAGAGATAATCATGAAACTTACCAGATGTTCTAATCTCGCTTTGATGTTCCCAGGATCCCTGTGAAAGGAAAAACATAGACCTAAATAATAGTCCAGTACTCTGGAATGTCCATACCTATGTCCTAGCATCCAAATTACACTGAAATTAATCACAGAATTCTGAGAGCGGACAAGAAATAGCCTTTTGCAAAGATAAGCTGTTATACATTACCTTTATATATACACAAATTAAATAACCGTATCCCATGTTTGTTGAGTTCAACTACAAAATTATAGATCGACACTCCTGTAAACAGTTAATAACAGTTTGAGATTAAAAGCAAAAATACCAACAATGCTGGTATGTATTGGCTAATAATTGTAGGGGAAAATAATCTGGAAATTTTCAACTCAGTATCTGCACAGATTAAACCCATCATCAAAATGTATGCAATAAACAGAAACTAACAATAAGCTTTTAATATAAAAACAGAAGTCGCTGGGAACACTGAGCAGATCAGGCAGCATTTATGGAGAGATGGAAGTGAGTTAACGATTCAGGTCGATGACCTTTCATCAGAAGTTTATAATGTTGGAAGCAAAACGGTATTGTGGTTTGCAATAAACAAAGCCAGTTTTATGTTTCCCACTCCTATTCACAATAGCTGGGATCTGGGAGCTCAGAATAGTTCTGCAGTTTGATAGTTCTGTAAGGTGTTAATCTTTTAATGTCATTAATAAGCAGTTGTGTGACTGGGCTCTTTCACAACATTAAGAAATGATTATTTAAAAATTCTTCAGTGGGTCAATTTCTGACCAGAGTTCAAATCAAAACAACTGAACACAAGCAAGATTTTCCTTCATGTGATTTAATCTGTGATTTTTATACCAAAAAGTACCGCGTATAAAGTGGGTGTTGAGGTTGCTCATCAAGTCTGGTGTAAAACACAAGCACATTGGACTTCCAACTGAGTAAGTGAAGTTTGCACTGCACTTTACATTCATACACAAGTATCCTCCACGGGTAACATTCACTGATATCATCACATTGGCTTGTGAGACAGCAAGGAAAATTGCATGGGTGAAATTCCCACTAGAAGGGCATCAGATATAGGAGTAAGAGAGAGAAAATTGGCAATGTGAAAAGTTACAATAATAAAAAAGCCCTTAGGGTCCTTGCGCAGTTGGACAACATGAATATGCGGGGACGCAGTTATAGCGGCCTTCAATATAATGGACCTGTGCTCATCGAAAGCTGTCTAACAGGCTATCAGTGCTGACGAGCCAGCCTCAAAACAGGCTATGAGGCTGCTGCTGTCTTCACTTCCTGTGTGTTGAGTGCGATGTGGAGAAAGCAATGCTAACATCACTTTTTCCTGCACACGGCACCCAAGGTGAGAGAAGTGACGTCAGCGATGACCTAAGACGTTGGCTGTTGAGACGTTGAACCCAGCCCTCAAGGTTTCCCTGAATTTGTTAACAAGAGCTCGAGGTTGTGATTTACACTTAAAAGCTTGCTGCTGATTTATTGAACACCGCTTTCAAACCATTATTAGATTTTCTAAAGTTTGCAATTTCAGGGGATTTATTCACTGGAAAAGCACAAAGTAAATAGAGCACAAAGACCTGCTTCGTTGCTCTCTCTAGAATATTGCCTTTTAAAACAAATGTTACCTCATGCTGTGATAGCTGCTGCCATTGCAATTTCTCTTGGGCATTGTGTATGAACTGCCTGATCGTTCGATAGGTTTATGCTTTTCATTTTAATCAACAATGTGGACAACTGATCATCACCACCCAAGTTGAATTAGCAAAGATCTCTTGTTTTCTTATGCAAATATCCAACTCAGTCATTGCACCATTTATTATTGTCATTGCATGGATAATAATACAAATTGACTACTGACTGTGTGAAGAAATACTTCTTAATATCTGTCCTAAATTGCCCTTGACAACTTGAAACCTGCGACATCTTATCCTGCTGCCTTGGTATATCTGAAAGTATTGGTCTGTGTTTAGTTTCTCTATCCAGTTAAGTACCTTATATACCTCTGTAAGTTCTCCTTAGAGACATTTCTTTTTAAGGCTTAAGAGTCCTAGCTTATCTTGTTGCTCCTCATAGCTCATCTCTCTAATACTGGGGATCAGTCTAGTTTCTCTCTCCTGTATCAATGGAGGAACAGAGTATAGTATGATCAAAATAGTTTATTTTGCTGCTCTCAAACGCAGATCCAAAAGTATGCTGCTCTGTTCACTATTTTCTTCTTGATGAGGCAAATGAATAAATGGATTTGTAAATTACCACCATAAGACAGAAAATGACCCCCGGTGTCTTTTAATTTTTTCAATAAAAAAGCAGTTTAATTTGTCCAATTGTGCTTCATAACATTAATGCTTATTCTTAATAAATAGTTTTACAGAAGTAACATTCAAACCATGTTACTCTTACCTTTCGACAACAAAATATCTACAATTTAATACAGCAAATTGTAAAAGCACCAGATAACTTTGTTTTTAAAATCTTCTGCATCAATGAATACAAATTTTTCACTTCCCTTACCAGCTCTCCAGCTTCTCTGGTTGAGACTGCAAATTAAGTCATGACTGAATTATGGCAAGTTTTGTTCAATGGAACAACGCCTACTGAGAATCGTCTAAAGTCGTACCAAGGTCTACCAAGTCTAAACTGATTCTCCTCATAATACAACAGCAGCAGAAACCTGATTCGAAGATGGATTTAAACTTATGCTTTAGAGGTGAAAGGACAGGCTATCAATCCATCAGTGCTCCCCATCAAATATTAGGCTGATGAAAACTAAAACGCATGTGTGCAAAACTATGTTAAGTTTTCTACCCTGAACAGTCTGAGCAGGTTAAAGATTTATGATGGTGTACAATATTTGCACAGCGAGGAACAGGCATTTTAATAGGGCAAAGTAACCAAACATTTCTGGCCTAGAATCCAATTTGTAAAAACATCATCTGGGCAGATGAATCAAAGATGTCAATGGAAATGCAAATACACCACAGCTTTTTTTTATATATATATTATGTAAAAGATTCTGGATAATTTCAAAGGTGCAACTGTCATGTTAAGCTTTTTCGAAAGATTCCACAAGTGAAAGAGAATAAACCAATTGTCCTGACATCAGAACATGATTCTCTTCTCTTCAAAGCCTAAATAGTGGAACGATTTCTAGATGTCATTTAGCACTAACAGCAGGTAAGCTTCACCAAAGCATTTTCCCCACAAGGATGCCTTTTAGTAATAGATATTAAGAACTGTTTCACATTTTGCATCTCAAATAGAAACACAACAGCTACTGCCTGTTGCCACTGTGCTCCCAACCAACAACAAAATGTATACCTCAGAATAGAATTAAAACAATAGAAACATACCACCAATGCCAAGTGCGTAACAGCAATTTAAAAGGGAATTGCATATATACCTGGCGACAACTAATATTGAAGATTACAGGAAAAGAACAGGGCCAAAAGATTTGAGTGGATAACTCTAGGTGTGCATTGAGCAACAATACTGACAGGATAGTCATCCCTATCAAAGTTTTTCTCAAGTCTCGGGGAGAAGGGTCTGTAAATTGGTTGGCAGTCAACCTGTTCTGGAAGGCAATGGCACAATACATCAGCATATTAATGTATTCCCTACCTACATGTTGTTGGTTTATGGTAAATTCCATGGACATTACAATTCTCCCAAACCGAAGGAATCTCGAAAAACATGAAATTACTTCTAATTTCCCACTTTATTAAGAGAATTCAATCCACAGATTTTAACGTGTTTTATTGTGCCGTCTTGCAAACTCAATTCCGTTACAGAGCTGGACTGTACGCTGCGTTGCCAAGTTAGTTTATGCAGGAATCAATATTTTGAAGCATGACATTTACCTTTTCTCTGTGTACCCAATATCTTAAATACTGAATGTAATTCCCGTTCAATACAAACTCATTCACCTGTTCTCACATACAAAAACAGTTTCAATCTCTGCAAAGGATTTAACCCTTCAATCCAGCAAAACTAGATCTATATGTCACTATATACCTTGACTAAAATATACCATTATTATGGAATTTGCCACACATTTTCCTAAAATTAAAAAAAACTGATTCAATTTGTCTTCAGTTTCATGCACTTTGGGAAATGACTACCTTTTCGATTTGCATATTTAATTCATTCTGCGATAAACCAGAAACAGATCTACAATTCATTGTTTCAAAGACAAATTAGTGCAGTTTAGTTCAGATTTATTACTGCAGTGACAATACAGTGTAATCTGCCTAATGAACAGCAATTAACAGGGAACATTTTACATCACGTTGAAGACAGTTCACAAGAAGCATCCAGTTAATGGCATATGAAGACTGCCCTATCAGTGGTCTGTCTGCAGGCTTGCCCCTGTCATGACTCCATCAATATTTATACAACTTCTTCCCCTGTGCTGAAAGCAGACCTAATTCAATTATGGGTCTCAAAACTGATAAAATGGTCCTGAAGTGGAAAATGGGAAGAGATTATTGGCAAATGAATAAAGATTTGTATCGAACAAGCATACAGGAGTACAACAGTCCTTTTTTTTATCATCTTCTGCCTTTGGTCTGCAGGGAACCTCGAGTTTCCCTTTCTCTCATGCTGCACATCGATTTCTGAATTAGACTGCAATATTAAATAATTAATATACTTGCCATGATTGATGTTTTGCATTAGTTGAATATTAGGTTATCAATCAAAATCCACTTGGTTTAATGTAATAATATTGAAAAAGTGTCAGGGGCTGTTCATCCAATTTGTAGTTGAAGCAGCCCAGATAGTAATATTGGTGTAACACGAAGCTCTGAAGCAGGAAATGTACTGGTTTAACATTCATAAGTCAGAGATTATGAAACTTATGGAGACATGACTGAGCCTGCCCTAAATAAACCTCACGGCATCTGTCAATTTCAATCACAGCAAGGTCTACGTAGAAATAAAACATCATCCACAACTGCCTTTCATCAGCTACGTGAGCAACCAAGTCCTCTAAAAACATGAATAGATATTATTTAACATCAAATCAGAATCCT